ATGCCAGACAGTTCTGACAGCTTGTTTCCAGTGTGACAGAATTACAAAATGCATTATGTATTTAGACTTGTGTGCATGTGCGGTGTCTAGTACCAGGCTTGTGAAATTTCTCTTGCCAAATGGTCTGAACCAGCCTGGAGGAGAGCAGTGTCACGTATGGGAAACACACTCAGAAATCGGGGACCAAGGGTAGGTGGCGTCCTGCCGTGCACCCCCATGGCGTCTGCATGGGGCACAGCTGTGTTTCCTGAAGCCCATGAGGTCAGTGTTAGGGCCTGTCTCCTGTAACGCCTTTATGACTGATCTGGAGGGCGAGAGCACGGCCAGCCACCATGCGAGGTGGGGGAGGGACGTGCAGCCATGGAACAGCCTGTGGACAAGATGAGGGGCTGCAGAGGGCTTGTCTCCCCACCCTTGCAGCACCCCCATCGCCAAGGGCACCGGTGGGGCAGGTGAGGCGGGAAGACAAACCCACTCGGCCTCATGGAATCAGAAAGACACAGCTGGGAGGCCTGGGGCCATCAATGCTAGAGCCTGTTGTGGGTCAAACTGTGTCCCCCCAAAAGATATGCTCACCTCTAAACCCCCAGTACCTGGGCATGCAGCCTTCTTTGGCAACTGGGGCTTTGTCATTAGTTAAGTGAGTCATATTCAGTGAGGATGGTTGTAATCCAAGGTGACTTCTAGGAACTGGAGATGACACTCAGAAGGGAGGCCATATGCCAATGGACGCAAAAGTTGGGGACCTACGTCTCCGAGCCAAAGGACACCAAGGGTTGCCAGGCACCACAAGAAGCTAAGAGAGCCAGCCCTTGGTTTGGGACGTCTGGCCTCCTGAGCTGTGAGAATCAGTTTCTGGGTTAGCCCCCCAGTGTGTGATTGCAGCAGGCCTAGGGGACAGCAAGCCTGGCTTCAGAAATGAGGACGTAAGGGACGGATGGAGTCCAGAGGCCCAGGCCCCCTCTGGGCTAGAGGGGGAGCTGTGAACGTGGGCGCTCTGAGTCACGTGGCAGGGGGTCTGAGTGACAAGAGGAGGGCCCTCTGTCCTCTTCGGGGCTCACGGGGAGCGATAGGTCAGGTAGGGAGCAGCTAGCAAGATGGTGGCATATGGCTCCATCTATCATAACTTTTGTTTGTATCGATAAAGCGAAACAGGCGTGGACGATCTGTGGTTAATTAACCCCAATTTTGTGCTAAGCTACTGAAATCTTTAATTCTCTCCCATCGCTTTATGCCCTCCGATAATTGTTATCTGTTCAGGGGTTTTGAATCATCTGTTTTCTTTCTTCTCCTGGAGGGCAGTGTGGCATTTAAATTTTCTATGTGCCCCAGTGCTGACGTCACTGCTGTCTCATCACCACGATGTTTGATTAATGAGAGCAGCTCGCCTGGGTTCATGTTGTGTTCCTGTCATGGATTTTGAAGGCTTTCCCAGTAACAGCACATGTGTGTGTGGGAGCCGAGGGGAGAAGGTGGTGCTGGGGACGCGGGGACCCATCACAGGCTCACCTCCATGGGCCGGACTGTGCTGCAATCAGCCGCAAAGCCGCCCTGCCCCATCTCATCTAGAACCCCAACTCGGACCCCACAGAGCCTTTCCTATCCTGCTGCGGCCTGCTCAGTGCAGGCCTGGTCCTGCAGACATTACCACACCATCAGATTAAACACCCAGGAGGCTAACAGGTGGCCAGCCCCCGTTTTTTCTAGGCTTCCTATCACTTTCCCAGGGTCTTCACAAAAAAAGTGGAAATGGGCCCCAAACACCTCACAAAACTGGCAGAGAAGAAGTGATATCAGACTCGTGAGTGTCCCTTAGTCTGACCTGTGTCCCCCCTAGAATCTGCTCAAAACCTATTGGGGCTCCCGGCCCCCTGTAGCCCACTGTCTGGGGAGCCCAGGGGACACAGCCCACAGTGTCAAGCGTTAGGGAAAGCTGAGAACCTTTGACCACAGAAGCAATCTCTGTGGGATTAGGCTACTTTCTTATTTAGAGGAGAAAAATATGCAGTTTGTAATTCCCTGCTCCTGGTGGCAGTCTGTCCTTCATGCCTCAATCGGATGGGACAAACTTTCAGCGGCTTTGCTCTCCCTCCATTGTTTCAACACCCACCAAGAGGATTAAAAATAATCTCTTTCCCTTTTAATTTTGCTCACCCCTCCACCCCACATCCTCTGGAGACGGCATGAATTTTTAATCCCTGTGGTTTGAGGCGGGGGAGCTGGGTTAACCCCTTGTTGAGGCCCCTGGGTGAGGACGGAGCCCAGGGGGAAAGGGCCCCCTGCTGGCCCCGCCGGGAACAGCGCTGAGTCCTCCACACCCAGGCGGCAGGCAGCTGGTGGCAAACCGCTGGTTAGCAGGCGAAACGTGCCTTTCTCCTCCCCAGGGCCACCAACAGTCCCCTGCTCCCCTGGGGACCCCCCCTTGGGTTCCAGCCAGGCCTTCCCCCACTGGCAGCTCCCACCTTCCCATATCACACTCTGGTGACCGCCGCCTCATGCTTTGTCTGCTCTGTGACAGGTGGGACTCCGGCCTGGGGGGGAAGAACTCAGCAGCCCAGCAGGTCTCAGAAGCCCCGCCCTACTGAATGTGGAGCCATGAGGGAACAGCTTAGGTGACAGAGACAGGGCTAAGGACCCCAGACGGTCAGCCCCGGTCCAGGTGTCCAGGCACCGGAAGCTACATCTCCTCCTGCGGGGTGGAGCTGAGGGAGGCTGGTGCTGGAGGAGGCCTGGGCTGTCTGGGTCGGGCACATTTTCTGGGGCGGGAGGCTAAGACGGCTCGGGGGGAGCGTGGTGAATGGGGGAGAGGTGGGCTTGTGGAAGCAGACAGGGTGGTGAGACATGCAGCACCAAGGAAAGGGTGGGGACAACCCCCCCCAAAACAAGTGGCAGGACTGCCCGCCCCCAACTGCATAAGGCAAATTCAGTGGAACCACTACAAACTACGCTGGGACAGACCCAGCTGTGCACCACAGCACGCGATTGGAGCCCCCTTAAACCTTCTCACCGGGAAGGACCTGGCCTAGAGCAGCTGCTCGCATGTCCCTGTGTCCCCCACAGTCCTCCTGGGACTGCCTGAGTGCCATGCAGACGCGGAGTGAATGGTCCTGCACAGGCACAGGGTGGTGATTCCCTCAGCTTTTCAGCTTTGAAGACACAGTGCAGATCAGTGTTTCCTTCCATCCGTGGGGAAACAGAGAATGAAAAAGGAGGAAAAAAAATGCAGAAAAGGGCAGGAAGATGTGTCATGTCACCACTCTGGGCAGCCGTGTCCCTGGGACCCAGGAAAAGCCCCTGNACCCCCTTAGACCTTGGGGACAAAAATACAAAGATGTCAGCACAGTTAACCACAAACGACACAGTAAGTTTATGAAAACAGCATAAAATGTTGCTTCCTTTAATTTGAATAATGGGAAAAGGTCATTCTTATCACTTAAAATAAAATACTTTGCAAGTGTTTCCTGTTCTTATTCATGGACGTAATTTGTCAATAACATAAAATGTATGCTCAGGTTGTGAGAAAAATAGAAGTAATAAGAGCAATGTGATTTTGGAGGGACATATTCTCAGAATCCAAAACTATGAAAGTCTCCATCACATTTTTTATGCTGGAGCCCATTTTCAACAAAACAATGACAAAAAAGATTCGAGAAAAATTGCATAATGGATCAATAATGGGCTCCAAATGAGAGCCTTCTCACTTAATTTGACTTTTTCCTAAAGTTACAAAAAAAATTTTTGTACTTTTTCCTAAAGTTACAAAAAAATGCACTTTACTTTCAGTATCGAATACAAAATCAGCACTGCCATTTGGTTTCTCATTTTAAAAAGTATTGTCTTTGTCTCCCCATTCCCCCCGCAAAAAAACTTTAATTTTCAAATGCCTTAGGTAAAATAAAAAGAAATGCAACTGCCCACATGACAAATGTTAACAATTTGTCAACCTTTGTTAACAGTCACTCAGCACGGGCTTCGGGCGGCCTTTTCACACTGTGTGGCTGAGCTTTGCCCTTGCTGGCGTACCCCGGAAGGACTTTGCAGATTAAAAAAACAAACATAAGAGAAAAAAGTGAGAATGCATCAGAGGGCAGAGGCAATGAACGAACAAACGATGCTACAACATGAACGGAGCACGATGTGAATTTGTTCTCTCATTCAACAAATACTGCTTGAACTTCATCCACAGGTCAAACACACCTCTCCACTTCAGATGTTTAAAAGCGGACTCGTTCTAATCATATTGTAATAACTACGTCTGGTGTCAGATGGGTGCTAAATTTATCAGGGGGATCACTTCGAAAATTCTGTAAGTGTCTGATCACTGTGTTGTGTACCTGAAGCTGATATAATAATGCATGTCCACTGTAGTTGCAAACTAAAAAAAAAAATTATTAAAAAAAATAAAAGGACTTTTCTGTTGTTCTGAATAAAAATGAAAATAAAACACTAGAAAAGGACCCCAGAGCTGGCAGAGGTCCAGGAAACACTAACAGATGGTAACATGACCCCTCGTCTGTCCATTGGGGTCTAGATAACATAAATACAATATCTGAGTCCTGATTTGACAATTTTCTGCCCCCAAACCTGCGTGGGTTTCACCATCTCGTCACCGAGAACATAGTGGTAGACGGGTGGTTAGCAGCTTCTGACCACCTCTGCAGACTCCTTTCCCAAACAGAAAGGGTGAAAAGGCACATTTTGAGGCTGCTGTGGCATGTCCCAACTTTGCCATCGGCAAGTGGTAAGGTTTCCCTGGAAGACGGTAGAGATCCCAGAGGAAAAGGGACAAATGAATCGGATGGGAGGGAGGCTGGGAAACTGGGTGTTCCCGCCATCTCCATAGATGCGGAAGCACACACTGGTTGCCCCTGGCGAGAAAGAAAGCTCCCGCTCTCTTGAACAACATTTTTAAATAGAAAAAGGAACACACTCACTTGATTTAAAAACAAAAAATCCAAAAGGAATAAAAAGGTACAGGAAAAAGTAAGACTGATACCTACCCGAAACCCTAAGGCCCCCGCTCTCCTGCCTCCAGGAATATTCCACGTGCACGTCTGTATGTGTGTGTGTGAAAGCATGCGTGTGTGTGCACAGTGTGCGTCTGTGTGTGCATGCGTGTGAGCATGCGTGCCCTGTACATGCATGTGTGCCCATGTTGTGTTCCTGTGTGTCCACGTGTGCATATGTATGTCCATGTGTGAGTGTTCCGCCTCCTTTTTTTACACCAATGAGAGCACAGCGCACACACTTGGGGATGAGAGAGTTTAGTCACGTGCAGCAGGCTGGGAACCACCTACTGACCAGTCCCTGCAGGAAGGCACACTGAAGGCGGCAGGACTCACATCCACTCCTACAGGGAAAGATGTAAAGACGCAGCACACCCAGCCATCGCGAGCTATGGCAGACTCTCTCTGGAACATTTGCTATGAATCAGTTTTTAGATAAAGCTTACCTTATTCTATCCCAAAACGATAGTTTTGAGTGGGCTAATGCGAGCGTTTTTAACCTCGTTTCCCAGGTGGTGACTGTCCTGCCATGACCCAGGCTCCAGAGGCTTCTTTCCGTAGCTGTTATACTACCGGCCATTCCTCTCCATGGTCTCCCAGCTCCTGGACACGAGGACACAGCCTCACAGACAGTGGAGCTGGGAGGTACCGCAGCAAACCCCTCACTTGTCAGCGGGGGAGACTGAGGCACAGAGCGGAGCATCCTGGGTTGGAGCCCAGGGCTGAGATGAGCCAGCTGTCATCGGGACATTCGACTTCCTAACCACCTGCCCAGGGGCTGCTGTCCTCCACAAGTGACCAGGTAGGGCCACTCTCATGGGCTAACTTATGGGGAGACGCTAGCGAGGCCGACCCACAGACTGGTCTGCACTGGGGCACGTGGGTAAGGGGCCATCCCCCACTTCTGACGGTGCCGTGCAGAGCAGGGGTGCCCTGTGCAGGGCCTGCCAGCACCTCCCTCCCAGTTTGGAGTCTCCTTCGCCTGCTGCGGCGTGGGTCAGCAGCTGGCCTCCCCGTTCTTCCAGAGTCCTTGCCTGCAAAATCGGGACAAAAATAACACTTCTGTATCTGATCAGGCCAAGGAGCTGATAGGAAAATCCTTTGAGACTGTGACACAGCAAATACACGTCAAGTGTTCTATTACTACCCCGCTGATGGCGCTGGTTTAGTTTGTAAACGCCTTTAAAGTGGTGCAGATCTAAGGAGCGTTGGTGGATTTCTGGAGTCTCCTTTCTGATGGGAGGGGAGATTGCATCCTGCACGTGCTCGAGAGTAAGGCAGACTGGCCACCTCCACTCAGTGCGCCCTGGGAAGCTCACCTGTGAGGCGCTCGCTGCCACCCCTTCCCCTCCCATCTTCTCAGTCTGAGTGATGCCAGGGTGGGCATCAGGGTGTGGTCCTTACAGCAGCACGGGCATCCCAGACCGGCTGTGTCAGGCCCTGCGTGTGGACGAGCCCCTCAGGCAGCTGTGTGCAGAGGTGCGTTCGGGCACAGCTGCTCAGAGCCCTGGCGACGGTGACCATGGTGGTGACAGCGAGTGGGTGAGTGGGCAGCGACCCGAGCTGACTGGTGTATTTCCTGCTGCTGTGCTCTTCCTCGAAACAGCACACCAGCAGAGCCTGCAGGGGGCCATTTGGGATGGGGCTGCCATTTAGGACAGGCTCATCCTTAGAGACACAATGTTTCAATGTCCCTCAGACCCAAGCAGAGCTCCACAGCAGCTTTGGGAAAGCCGCATGCTCCCATTATCGTGATGAGTGCCGCGCTTAGTGAGACACCTGTCACTCATTAGAAAACACGATCTTTCACCGATACTCCAGGACAACAGAGAATCCAAGAAGGACGACACTGACCCTCACAGCACCGCCTGCCGTGGCACCTGTCTTAGACGTGAGACCTTTAACTAGACTGCAGGGCTCCACAGCCTCTAAGCAATGGATTCGCGCATTCTCTGTGGCCTGGTTTTTCTCTCATGCATCTCTGACCGTCCCCCTGTTCCCCAGACTGGCACCAGGTGGGTGAGTGGCCTGTGTCCAGAATCCGCCTTGGCTGAGACGGACTGGTGCTGGGATGAGCACTTCTGGGCCGGAGGCCTGAATACGTACCTTCCTCCTCCCAGCCTGCAGACCTGGGCACTCGGGTGACACATGGTGAGCAGAGTAGAGGTCAGTGATTCCTCTGACCACCAAGTTTAGGTCAAGCAGCGTGGGAACGGCTGTGACACTTAACTCTGGAAATGCTTTACCTCCCCTGGCTCAGAGCATCCTTGTCTTGGAAACACTCAGTTTTGACCTAGTCAGCCTGGGGTGGTGACGTTATAGCTTCAGGTACAAAGCGGGCAGGTCGCCGGTCAATTCTTGATGTGCCGAGGGGACCCCCATGCCTCACGGGCCGGAGGATACGGTCCTCCGTGTCTTGGCTTTGCTAATGACTCTTGGATTCCAGTTCCTTATCATCTCTTCTAGCCTCGAAAGAACAGGGGCCAAGTGTAAGGACGGATCGAGACCAAACGCAACCTACATCAGTAGCAAAGAAAAAAGAGGCTATTAAGAAATCAACTTTGTTCTGGTTAAAGAAAATGTTTTTGTTTTGCCCAGTGGACCCTCACTGAGGGCCACTAGTGACCTTGGGTCTTCAGAAATCAGCCTGTGCACAAGCTAAGCATTGTCACCCAGGCGACAGTACTCTAACATGAAGGGGAAAGCCACCCTGAATCTCGCATCCTGACAACCAAAATGTCCCTTTCCAGCTCACCCACACGTAGCCCCGACTGTGCACCCTCTAGTCACACTCAGCCCTTTTTCTGGTGTCTCTAAGTCCCCACATCCGTATTCAATGGTGGCCGACTGCTCTGTGAGTTTACAGCCACCTCATAGCTCCTTGACTTTGGGACACTTAGGGTATTGCCCGCATTTTAAAAAGTGTTTTTGGATATGTGGTGTTTCTCCTCTGGTTGGATTGTTTTCTCAGGCTGTCTTCGTAATTGTGGGGTCAGTGGTCCTTGATACACGTGTCCATGTGTTTGGTGTTATGTGCTGATAGTCCTCGCGGAGGTATGAAACCTGTTCAGGCCAACAGACACACCTACGAACCAAGTCACTGTGAGCCTCTTCCATGGGGACTGTTGCCACAAGGCTGCCGCACATTGGGGCCACTCAGAAGCTTTGGGATGTGGTTTCCTCTCTCATTCCGAGCTGAGAGCAGACAGTGGAAGGATCAATAGTTCAGATTTATCAGCATGAGGCACCACGCACGGCCTGGAGGCATTTCTCAGCACCACCTGACAGGGACCACCGGTCTCACCTTAGCCCTTCCCATCACTTGGACCACTTTGGCTCAAGCTAATGTTTCTTTCTTTCTTTTTTTTTGTAGAGGGCAGTGTCACTGGCCCTCACATGTGGGATCCGAACCGGGGCCTCTGGCGTTCCCAAGCCAGCTCCCAACCATCGTGCCACTCGGCCAGCCCTCAAGCTAATGTTTCTTAAAGCACATAGATGTGCCATCACTTGGCACATCTTGAACTGAATTATTTCCCACTATTTACCAATTACTAATCCCGAAAGGTAACATTAGATGTCTTCCTTCCTGATTCTCTGTGCATTTGAGCAAATATTATCTATCCGCTAGTTACTCCCCAGGCTTTGGAAGAGGGTTCCATTTCTAAACTGGGGGTAAGAAATACTCCCCCTAAAGATCCTGAGGAGAAGAAATCTTAGTCCACCGTCCTCCCCAGGCCCAGGATCCTTGGCCGCAGGTGGAATGAGCATGTCATGGACATCAACAGCTGGGCTGTATGCCTGCAGAGGCCGAGAGCACTCACTAAGTTCCATTCACTGAGCACCACGCTGGAAACTGATGGAAGCAGGAATGCGTGGTCTGTTCTGCCGGGCGAGGTGAAGTTCATCCTGGGGGACGAAGAGGCAGCTACAGCAAGTAGCAAGGCCTGTACAAGTCACTAACATCAATGTTGATGTTCAATCACTTGACCGCTGTGTACTGAGCACCTACTATGTGCCAGGTGTTGTGCTAGACACGAGGAGACAGCAGTGAACAAAATTAAGGAGGTCCCGATCCTCTTAGAACTTGTGGCCTAGGCCCACCGCCGTAAGTCATCCAGGGAGCATGCTGGCTTTGGGAGGGGCCTTCCTCCTGGGGACCCCCGGGCCATCAGCCATTTGTGTACTGCCCATGAGCTAAGACTGGTTTTCACATTTATAAATGGCTGAAAAAAATCAAAAGAAGAAGACTATCTTGTGACATGTGAAAATGACATGGAATTTCAATTTCAGGGTCCACAGTACAGTTTTATGGGACACAGTTGTGCCCGCCCCTGTGCACACGGCCCAGTGCTCGGTGGTGGCTACTGGGCCCACAGAGCCTAGAATATGGTCTGTCTGGATCTTCCCAGAAGACACTTGCCCCGTCCCACTCTGCTGCGCGCAGCCCTTTGGCCCTGGTGGTCTCGCACCTGCTGTCCCATCACGCGATGCCAGCCCACCCCCTACCTGCGTGACATGGTCCTGTTTCCACGCCTCCTGCCCCCACCTTCTCTGGATGCCAACAGAGCTTCTCTCCTGGAGGATGTGAGAACAGTTCTTCTAAATGTGGTGAACATACACGTACGCATGCACACACGCATGCACACACACACACACGCACACACAGTGGGTGAGCTGCATGGCCCTGGATGGAGAGTAAAGCTGCTTTTACCCAGGTTGGTACAACTGGGGATGAGATCTGCACTCACCGAGGATCCCCTGGGCCGGGCCTAGGAGGGGAGCCTCACACCTCCCCACACCCTGGGACATGGGTATCACTATCGAGTGTTGCCAAGAGAGGAAGGCCTTGAGAAACTCACGGAGGGA